CTGGTGGATCCCACACTGTGAGGGTGGCCGACAGTCAGACCGCACAAACCCGAACACCACTGCCCCACCCCCTGCCCCATCCCGCTCACTGCACCCCCCACCCTCACTCACTTTCACTAGGTTGGGGCAGGGGCTTGGGGTGCAGGAGCGGTGCAGGGTATGGGCTCTGGGAGGGTGTTTGGGTGCAGCAGGGTGTGGCAAGGGTGAGGGGTGCAGGCTCTGGGAGGAAGATTGGGTGCAGAAAGGGGCTCAAGGCAGGGGCAGGAGTGCAGGAGCGGGTGAGGGGCACGGGTTCTGGTGAGGCGGCACTTATCATGGGTGGCTCATTTTCAGTGGCACAACGGGGCTAAGGCAGGCTCCTGGAAGTAGTTGGCACATCCTTATGGACCCTGGGGAGGCAGGAAGCCTCCACGTGCTGCCTGTGCCCACAGGCACCGCCCCCGCAGCTCCCATTGACCATAGTTCCCACCAATGGGAGAGGCGGAGTCAGTGCTCAGGGCAGGGACAGCGTTAGGAGCCTCCTCCCACGCCGGGGGCTGCAGGAGTATTCCGACTGGTTCCGGAAGCAGTGTGGGGCCAGGGCAGGCAGGGAGCCTGCTGCTCCAGTGCTGGAAACCTGCCCTTCCCCCTCAGCTCGGCCAAAGCACCCTACACCCCTGCCCTCTCTACTACCCTGTTCTTGCTATTCCAGGACTGAGACCTCCCGACCGCTCAGACTGACTTCTCTGTCCACATAGCCAACCCCTTCTATTCCAGTACAGGGACACTCCTCCCCCCATTCTGACAAGGCCTCACAGGCTGATCTCAACAGCCCCCTTGCTGTTCTAGTCAGAGGCCATTTCCTGGTTCTATCACTGCCTCTTGGAGACCCTGCCCCATCCTGGCACCTCCCCCAGAGCCCGCCCCTCCTCACGATGCACCCCATGCGATCCCGGACAGCTCGGCCTCCGCCATCCAGCTCAGGGAACCTGTCACTCAGGCTAGTGCAACTGAGCACCTGTGCTCCGACGAGGCGATGCCACCGATGAGTCCTTTGCATTGCCTCCTTGCCTCCCCCCGCAACTCTGTCTGCCCAGCTAGCAACCCGTGGGCAGCATGGTCCGAGTCCGGCTGTCTGATTGGGGAAGGAGGGCTTGTCAGGATCCCCCTTCCCTGCCACTCCTGGTTCATCTGAACCGAGGCGCACATCACTCCTGCCATGGCACGGCCCCTGAGAGCCAACCTGCTCCATGGTCTAATGGGCTTCAAAGCCAGGGGCGGGGGGAGGAGGTAAGTGGCTGACGTTTCTCAGCCACTCGGCTCGGCCTGGAGCTAACGAGGCATCTCGAAATTAAAAAGTGAACTGCAATCCCCAGCAGGCCTGTCCTCCTTTTGGCATTAGTTGGAGTTCTCTTTCTCGCTCAGCGAGAGCCGGCGAGCAGCTTTCAGCTCCGTCGAGGCCCCATGTCTGGGCAGCGCACAGGGATCCCGGGAAGGGGAGCGCCTGTGACTTAGGAAAGGTGTTTGCACGGACAGGATTCCCCCCTCGCCGTGCACACAGTCACCCCCATGCTGCCCCTTCACCTCATCCCCACAGAGCAAAGCAGAGAAGATAGAAAATGGGATACAGGTCGCAGAGCGCGGGAGAATGGGGGAGGCAATTTGGGCTGGGTGGGAAGTGCAGGTGGAAGAGGAGGAATTGGGGTCTGGAACCTGGAGCAGGTGAGAGGGCAGAGGGAGTGAATAGCAGCTCTCCTGTCCCTGGGATGGACGGGACACAGATATGTTTGGGGTGGAGGAGCGGTCCTGAGCAATGGAAAGTGGCACATGAGAGAAAGGGAGGGAGCAGGGCTGGGGGTGCTTGGGCAGCTCCCGACTGCCAGTTCCAGGTGCAGCAATGACTCATGGGAGCATAGTGCTGGGGGGCACGCGCCCTCCGGCCCCCATGGCAAACTAACAACTCTAGAGTGTGGCTCGGCCGGCCACAAGCGCACTGCAAGGGAGTCCTGTGAGGGGAGACCTGGGCATGGCCCGGCTCCTCAAAGGCTCAAGCTGCCTGAATAGCATTGGGGCTGCAGTCCTCTGTGCCTCCCTGGCCTGAGCTGTGAGGTGGGGTGTGGAATCAGCCCCGTGCCAGGAGACCCCTGCTGGCTGCTTGTGGGCCTGAGCTGGGAGGTACACATCCCTGGGGTGTGTAGGGGCCACAGAAGTACCTCCCAGCTCACACCCACAAGCAGCCTGCTCTCTTATCCAAGGTGCAATTCTCCAACTGCTTCCACGGATGGGATAAGGTGGAAACCTCAGCCCCTGCAGGGCAGGGCCAGGAAGGAAGTAGAAAACCCAGTCACCCGTATTCACCCCCTGGTGTGGTACCACCTGCCTCTGCAGACTTGCCCCCGGGACAGATTTGGCTCAAGGTCTCAGGGTCCCAGATAGCTCTGGGGCCTGGTGCTGGTCCAGGGAGATGTTCCCCTCCCCCTCACTAGGTTAACAATGACTGAGATGTGTCGCCCGCTCCTGTCTATGGGGGACCCCTCTGTGGTCCTGGGGCTCGGTCCAACTCCTACTCCTACCACCGGGTCTCTTATTTTAGGATCTGCCAGGGCAACAGACCCACACATCCAGAGAGGCTCAATGCCCGTGCAGCCTTAGAGCGCCAATGGCGCCGCCAGCTCAGACCACAAGCCACGGCGCCCTTCCAAAGGGGGGAAGAAAGGAGCAGAGCCGTGTGTAGTAAAGTCTGGAGAGCAACAGCTACACACCAGGGCGTGGGGGGCGCCCTCTCTGCTTCTACTACGGAGATGTGGCCAGCGCTGGGCAAACGGGTGGAAAAAAATGGAGACGCTCCCGTAGGTTTTGAGGTCAGATGGTTTAAGGGTCTCACCGCCAGCTCCAGAGCTGGTCCAGCACGGGGGTGGCTGCAAGTCCTGCTATGGCTAGGACCATCCCTTTTGTCCTGGGCGGCCTCAGGTTTTTGGCAAAACTGGGCGTTTGTCCCAGTTGGCCTTGCCAGTTGGCCATGTGCTGGCAAGAGCCAATGGGATGAATGCCAAGGGGGGCTGGCCCCTTGCAAGGCATGCAGGAATGTGCCGGGAAGAGGGGGACAAGCAGCAACGCCGACCCTATGTGGGTGGGCAGCAGACGGTGGCCTTGGACTGGCCCCGTGCGTGAGGGTAGGGAGAGGAAGGCCTCAGGCTAGCACAGGGAGCAGGATGGCCAATCATGCGGGGGGAGAGGGAGCCCTTGGGCCAGACCCATACAGGCAGGAGGCTGGGGGGGCACACGGGACCTCATGGGGGGTGGAAGGCCTCAGGATATCCCCCTGCAGTGTCCCATTTTCCCTTTGGGAATATATGGTCACCCAGCAGCAATTCCTGCAGCACTAACCAGTGTACCCCACAAGCCCCCTCCCAGCGTTCCTGTCGCCTTTGCACATGGCTCGACCACCGACTGTGTTTTACGGTAGCCCAATAATCCCACAGGCTTCCTAGGAGGCTGTCTTGCCTTTTTTTATGGCATCTCTGCAGCTCTTCTCTCGTAAAATGTGACTGCACCAACTTCTGTGGCAGGGGACAGCCGGCTGACAGGGATGTTTTGTGGTTCCCTGGTGAGCCCTTTTCAGCAAGCCCTCCTGCAGTCGGGATCCAAAGAGGCTCCATCGCCTCCCTCTTGCCTGCCGCGTGCGGCTACCCGCCATGCCCCTGAAATTCCAGGCTGCCCCTCTTTGCCCCAGGGAGGAGTCATTTTACAGGGGAGAGTCTCTGCCCCACCACGATCCCGGCCAGTGGGGGCGTAGGAGCAGCTCTGAGTGAGGTGCAGGGAAGTCGGAGATGATTGAGAGAACGGCTGGTTTATGGAGCAGAGAGGAACTTGGCTATTTAAGGACTGGTCCAGAGCTCCTGCCACCGCGTGAATCTTCCTGCCAAGGGCTTCGGCTCAGGTCTCGCGCGAGAGACTTTCTCCCCCCATCAGGGGCACGTTGCCCTCTTGAAAGCAAGGACACAGAGCTGCTTCTCCGCTGTTGTCTCCGGAAGAGACGCTGGTTCCTCTGCAACCCTCGGGGCGGCTGAGATCAATTCCCACCTACCCGGGAAGGGAAAGCACCACCCCGCTCAGGCCAAAAATAACCCGAACAAGCTGAGTCCAAGAGAAAGTGACTCAACCGTCACGTCACCACAGAGCCGGCTTTTGGGTTTCCGGAGGCTAGTTCCCACTACTTCGCGGGCACCACTGAATACCCATTGACCAGGCTCCGTGGCCTTGTCACTATTTCCCCACGCACCCAAAAACGAAAAGGGGCCCCCTTTCTACCTTCCTCTGCTTCCTCGCCTGGGGGCTGGAAAACCCTGCCAGTGGAGTCAGCAGACAGAGATCCTGGCCGACAAACCCACAGCCCGCCCAGCAGCTGGTCTGACCACAGCCTGCCCCAGCTCTGTACGAGGCGGTGAACGGGGCAGACGGAGGCAGTGCGCCAATGTCCCAGCGCTGCCGAAACGCCAGAGTCCCTGAGATACAGACTGGAGGGCTGTGGGGGGAACAGGGGTGGACGGGAAGCATGGGGCAGCCAGTGAGTGAGGTTAAACCCCGAGCAACACCGTTTATCCGACTGCGGGATGGCACGTTACAGGGTCCGCAGCCAGCGAACGACCCCGGAATGCCAAACAGCATCACGCACCCACCGTAGAGACAGGGCGAGGGAGGGAGCGGAGGAGAGGGGCAGGGCCAGCAGGGATCTGAGAGGGGCTATGGGGAGGAGAGCAGAAGGAAGGCTCTACAGAGAACGACAGGCAGAGGGAGAAAACGGAGGGAGAGAGGGCAAAGGAATCAGAAGGAGGGTAAGGGGAGGAATGGGGGAGGAAAAGAGAGAGCGCACGGAGAGGGGGAAAGCTCACAGGTCGATGCATGTCGCTAGCAGCGGGACAGGTGGCACCCGCCTACGGGGCAGCGAGGCCTCTAGCGCCTCTGCTCCATTTCCTGGAATCGCAAACACCCCCAGCGCGCGGGACCCTGGCTCACCGTACCTCCGAAGTCGGGCCTAAGGCGGACGTCATACCCCTTCAGCAGTTTGTCCACAATCTCTTTCACCACAGAAATGTTCCCGGTGGAGGGGCTGAAAGAGAAGCAGCAGAGGTTCTTGTCAGCGTCCTCACACGGCAGAGGCATGCGGCGGGCCTGGCGGAGGGCCGAGACCCTCCCTGGCGTACAGGCTGCATCCCGGTGCGCATGCGCAGGCCCACACATGCTCCCTGCCTCACACATGAGCTCTTCCTCTCGCAAACACCCCCTCCCCGTCTCTCTGGCATCACAGTCCTCCTCTCTCACACCCCCGCACAACGATCCTGGCCCTCTTCCACGCTGCACATGCCCTGGCGAAAACAAGCTTTTTGGGACACCCATGCAGTTTAAAAAGTCTGTCAACCAGTCCCTAGAGGGGTGGTCCCCTGGGGCACTTACACGTGTCCTGTAGAAACTCATACTCAATCTCTCACTGCGCACACACACTCTCTTCCCCCACTTGCTGTCCCTGTCACATACACCCGCACAACACTGTGCACACAGCCTCCATCTCTGTCACACTCTGCAGCCTTTCAACTTTCTTCCCACAGCCTTGTGTTCTCTCCTACTGCACACACACACACACACACACACACACACACACACACACACACACACGACATAACTCTGTGTCTTCTACCATGCACACACACAGGGCTTCCACACTTCATTTACACACACTCGCTGTATCTCTGACACACACACTAAATTACACACAAATTTGCCCTGTTACATACCTCTAGATGCCACCTCCCTCTCACACTTTCATGCACACTTCATCTGTAACACACTAGGCATTTTCTCTCTCTCACACACACACACACACATTACATAGACACCCAGTTTCATCACACATAATACACACTGAACTCCCCAGGATATTTACTCCCAACCCAAATATTCACCTATCCAATCTCCCCTTTGCATTTTGTACACCCAGGCATTCTCTCAGGTTAGCCATGCACCAAAGGACTCTTGCTCTCCTACACACATGCACCTAGACAATATAGTGATGATCTTTGGCCTCTGAAAATAAATATGTTATCACTGTATCACAGCAGCTTGTAATATGGTCTTAGCAACAGAGAGGCAAGAAGAGTCCATCTTTGGCTCAGTGTGCCTAGATCATGGTATTTTCCCTCCCAAGCCCCATGTATTCCTTCCCTTGCTACTGGCCTTCCAATTCCTTCCAGCCATGTGAACGAGAGAGCTGACCTGCATCAAAGAGCCCTAGACACAAGGGAAGTGATAGTGGAATGATAGGCAGCAAGAAGCTACACTGAACCTCCAAAACACACGAGTGCAGGTGTTTCCACTTGGGTGGTCCCCCAACCCAACCTTCGGCCCAGCTCTGTTTTCTATGGCGCTTGGGTGCACATATCATCAAACAGCAGTCTTTTCCCTCATCGGTTGAACGCCAAATCCATGAAAAAGACACTTCTTCCAGACCATCCTTCCTTCGACAACAAATTAGTCTAGGACATAAAGTGGCAACACAATATACTACCCCTTCCACCAACCTGGGTGTCTCCCTGGAGCTGGAGATTGTGGGCACAGGCCCTTGTACACGTGTGGCGGTGATTTATGTGTATGGACCTCCATGGTGTGCATGAGTCTATGTGTGAGCTGAGTACGTGCAGAGACCTGTATTCACACGAGTATGGATTGGCATGTGGATGGCTGTGCAAAAACAGAGCTCTCTCTTTCTCTGTGTGTGCTGTACATCTGGGCACACAGATATGTGCATGTGTGTGTATTAAAGATCTATCTGTAAAGGGGCATGAATATGTGGGTACAGGTGCATGAGTATGAGGTAGGAACGTGGGTAAATTGATCGGTCCGGGCAGGTGGTTTTGATCTGGATGCATGAGCCTGTGTGTGCTTGGATACACCTTCAATCAGAATGTGTACATGTGAACGTAAACCAACAGTTTTATCTTGGCACAGTCTAGGAACACAGAAAAACTGTTCAGTGAATATGCTGAAGGACATGTGTATACACGCTGGGTTTCTTATACATGTGCCCTTTTAATTTATTTAAGTATGTCTTTACACAAGTCCACAGGAAAATGGGGGAGGGGCGTACCAATGAATGTGTACACTTGTCTCTGTGCATACACAGGGTAAATATATTTGTGTAGATAAGCATGTACTGGACTTATGGATATCTGCACACATATTTGCATGGGTATATATTTTGGGAAATTGTATAGGTATATACATGTGCACACTCCAGATACATGTGCATTTAGTTGTACACATGTGAGTGCATGTGTACAACCAGGTTTTCATATATGCGTACAACAACCCAAATGCTTCGTGCTTCACCCTCAATGGAATTTACAAACTTGCATTCATCCCCCGCAACAAGTCAGAAATGATCCTTACCTCCATGTTACAGACAGGGAAATAGGCCGGGAGGGAGTACGCGTTGTTTCCAAAAAAAGTCACACAAGAAGTCTAGAACCGTGGTGTCCCAGTCTTCCCCACAAACTACAAATATCTGCCCCCAAAGTCAATGGGAGCTTGTGTGTGCTAGGAAAGAAAAAGATCGGGACAAGGTCTTCTGTCTCTTCAGTTGTGTGCCTGTCCTGTAAGGCCATCTACCTTCCTCTGAACAAACGATCTGTGTAGATGCACAGGTGTGGGCATGTGGCTGTACCTTAGCGCCAAAACTGTATGAACGTAGGATACAGTCCATGTGTCAATTGTACATGTATCTCTTTCAATATTGTACACTTGAGACTGAGTGGGTGTGGACGTGCACTGTACACGTATGCGCGCATCCAAAGGTATCAATCCTGTATGTGCGTGTAAGATGCTTAGTGAACATGGGTGCGAGCGTACATGCCGTGTATACATCATGCATGTGTGAAGGGTGTGTGTTTACAGTATGCCAACTGAAGTCTATGCATCTGCACGTGCCTGGCCATATATGAGAGGGCAGAATCCACATGTGCCTATACAATGGCAGGAATCTGTGTATATTTCTCAGTGTACAGTGTATGTGTCATGCATTAAGCAGTAGGAGTCAAGGGATGTGTGTGGGCATGAATCTGCACATGTGCCTGTGTGCACGCACCTGTGTCTTTGTGTTAACAGGGAACATGGATTATAGATCTAGATTTGTGCCTGGCCTCAAATGTGTCTTAGTGCAATATTATATAGGCAAGGGTATGTGAATACAGAGCCAGTATGTAATAACCCTGTCTATTAATGAACTGTGTAAATGTGTATACACGGTATGTGTGTGTGCAGTGGATAAATATTAGTGTAGAAATGCACTCCACCTACATTGTCCACTATGGATGTGTGTACATGTGTGAATGCATGGACCTTGTGTCCATATATATATATAGTCATATCTCTGCTTGTGTATATGCGATATATTACTAAGCAGGAAACTGTGGACGCATGCATTGCGCGTCTAGTATCCTGCCCACAGTATGCGATATGATACACTGTATGACTGTACACTTTATATAGTAATGCATACATAGATGTGTGTGTATGCATGGCACATATAGCCATATGGTCATATTTACGTGTGTGCATGCAATGAATAAATATTGCATGACGGCTGGCTGCATTGCATCTGTAACGCACAGTGGGTGTGAGTACACACATGCCTAGGACATGTGTGAGTGTGGATGCGTGTGCAGGCTGTGTCTACAGCCTCATGCATGGCTAAGGCAGGCAGTGTGGGGTTTTCGAGGTAGCCCTTTGCTACAGTTCAGGGTTTGCATTCAGTTCCATCCCTGCTTGCTGGGCACCATGTTTCCCAGTACAAGGCTTCATTTTGTCAGTTTCTCTTACAGTCGGTGACTGGGATGCAAACGAGCTGGATGGTGAGCTCCCGGCTGCAGAGATCTTGCCTATGCCTGAGCACCCTTCCTCTCCCTAATATGCAATTGACTAGGAAATAAACAGCAGGCACCAGGAAAGCCATTTGGAGAAGAGACCCCCACCAACAAAACTCCCCCCCCAGCCCACTCCTATAAGCCCACCCCCCATCTGTCCCTGCACCCTGGAAATCAAATCCTTACCTTTGCGCACAGCAGGCAAGACAAAGCGCCGCGAAAGCAGAGACAATTGCACTCAATCTGTCTGCCTGAAACCTCCACATCTCCACAAGCACGATGGAGGGAAAAAAATACGTTGGGAGGGGAGGGAAAGATCTTCTGAAATCCCCCTCCAAAAAAAAGAAAAAAAAAGGAAAAAAAGACAACAAATAATTTCCTTTATTTTTTTTTTAAAAAAAAATCACAAGACAGTAAAAAAAAAATGGGGGAAATATGTATCCCCCCCTCCCTTCAGTGCCAGTCAAAGAATTCGCCTCCTCTTCCTTTCAGCATCCTCTCGACAAGAGACATCCTCTGGCAATGGACAAAATCCCAAGAGAGAGAAAAATGAAATGTCCCCAAAATGGACTCAGCAAAATGTGGAAGCGAATCTCACAGGTAGAAAAAAGAACCCGGTCTCCCCTGAATGCTCCACTTGGATTATTTTCCCCCCTGCTATTTTGCCATCCAGTTCTGCAGATGTTGCATGGATCCTGTTATCCACCTTCACAGAAGAGGAGGAGGAGGAGGAGAAAGATTGTGTGTGGATGTGTGTGTGTGAGTGAGTGAGTGTGAGAGTGTGTGGAGGGGGGCAGGGTGACAGTTATCTGGCAGTGCAATTTTAGTCTAGATTTCACCTACCCTTTACTCTTCTGTTTCCCCTCCTCCCTCTGGGTTTTGTTTGGGGGGGGACATGCAACCCCAGAGTGCCTTTGGATTTGAGTTTACTTGCCCCCTGATGCTGTTGACTTGGATGGATAGTGTGAAAGGGTTAAAAAAAAAAAACACAAAACAGAAGGAAAAATCCCGGGGAAGCAAGAAGAACTGCTCTCAAAAGCAGAGATGCATGGCTTCTGTATGCTGTTGCTGCAGCTCCTGTAGAGTTTTGCTGCTCATTGCAAAGTCACAAGAGGGGAGGAGAGAGAGACTTTTGTAGATTGGGGAAGGGAAAAAAAAAATCTATGGGCAAATTAGGATCCTGACGTCATGGCTGACAACATTAACCCCTGCTGGCTTGGAGAAGGGATTTTATCAAGGCTGGGTGGGGGGAGAAGAAATGAGGCTTTGAGGGGAGAGGATGAGTCGGGAGAAGAGACCGATTGGTCCTGGAGCAGAACACTGTTGCGGCCATTTGAAACGGCTTGACAAGATCGATGCGAGATCCTGGGGGAGAAGGAGAAGTGCATGAGTGTGTCTCTAACCCATGGGACGAGGGGGCCTGACAGCATTCCCAGGACGCCTTTCGGGGCAATTCCTATAGGCTCCTGGCGGATGAGAGAGAAATTCTGGGCGAGAGGGTGAGCCAGCGAAAGGATCTTGCTTTGCTTTTGGAATTTAGACCGGACCAGAGCTATTGGCCCAACAAAGCACAAGTTTGGGGGGGGTTGAAAATCTGGAAGCGTCAGCTTCTTACACTGGGGGTTTGCCCACAAAGCAAACAGTCATTCTCATGATGCATTCCTGGTCAGCTCTGGGTCTTTTTCTGATCAAACCCAGTCAAGTAAGGCAATAACCCAGCCCCGCTGGCTAAAACATGCAGCATAGGTTTTCCTGGAGGACTGTTTCCTGGGAACAGGGCGTGGATTCTGTAGGAGGAAGTCCCAGGCTGGGTCAGACAACGGGCTCAGCCCTGCATCTCTCACCACAGCCAGTGAACAACACAATGATACAGGAGGTGTCTTCCTAACCTCACGTGGAAGCTAGTTTAGGCCCTGAAGGTTTCTACTCCGTCCAAGCTCACAGTGGCCAAACGGGCAGAGCATTGGTCCCAGTGGCTGACCTCACCCAGCACCCAGTGCTCCTCAAGCGTCGGTCCAGGGGACAGGCACCCAGGGGAGCTGAGCACCGACCGTGCCTTTTCTTTCCCCGGTGAGAACGTTGCTCCCTGCTCTGCTGTCGCTGGAAAGAGCCGCCCTCATTTCCAGCCCGCAGGGCGGAGAATTCTCTGCCGCCCCCCGGCTCATAGTGGAGAAGTTGATCCTAGCTCTGGTTTTGCAAGGGACTGCGAGGTGGCATCCCCAGCCAGGGCTCTGGTTCAGGTCCAGCCTGGGTCATGCTGCTCCCTGACCTGTGTGAAACGAGCTAGCGATCTTTGTGTGCTCGGGCCGACGGCCACTCCCAAACCTGCAGCCAGAGGGGAGCTGGCAGGCTCAGGCCAGAACACACCGTGGCAATGGACGTTCCTACGCAGGCTGCTCCTCTGGGCTGGGGTGGAACCGGCTAAGGGGGCAGCGTGGAGAGAAAAGGGCAGGGCTACTCGCCAGACTCTGCTTGGTCTGCAGAGAAAGGTGAGGACCAGTTCAGAGCCTGCGTGCTAGGACCGGTAAGGGGCCTCGCACTGCAGCCTCTCAGGGTCTGGGCCAGGGTTTGCAGAGGGCCCTCTGCGGTGATTAAAGCGGACTGGAAGAGAATGGGGAGCCATGGGGGGTGCTGTGCCCCACTGCTGGGGCAGCAGGGAGCATCCTCAGCCTGTGGGACGCTCACCACATGCCTGGTGCAGGGGCGGGGGGCCCTCCCTCCCGTAACATGCTGGGCCAATCTACAATGCCATGGATTCACCCAGCTCTCACAGACCAGCCGTTGCATCTCCTCCATGGATAATAATCGGTACACGGACAGTGCTGCGCAGATCGGCAGCACCCAGACCTCGCAGCCTGCTGAATAGGAGATGAACCCCAAAGTTACCCAGCCCGGTGTCTTCAACAGATGCCACCAGGGCAACACCCGTGTAGTTAGACTTGGCCTGAATCATTTTTTCATAACTTTGGCAGATAAAAATCGGTGTTAAGCATTTTTTTCCTATTTTTATATTGTCTCAGTTGCACAGAATTAAGCAACTTTAGCACTGGGGGTTTTTCAATTTTTGATGGGTTTAGATTTTCAAACTTGTGGGAAATTGCAGGGGATCAATCAACAATTACTTTGTGACAGCTGAGACAGAGATTCAAAAAGTGAAAGCTTTATAACCTTTATGTTAAAAGACGGTCAACATCACATGTCAAAATCGACACTGTAAATATCCTTAAACCAAACGCCAATCAAAAGCTCTCAAGCGGCACTTGACTTACGCTGCCTGTCTGCACATCTGATTATTATCAATGGAAATTTTTTTCGTTAGGTTGGGTGTCTTCGGTGAAATCGACATTTACTGATCAAAATGTAACCCTTCCACGCTCATCTGTATGAAAGGCGTGTGCTGTTCCATACCTCAGGAAGTACACTGGCTCGGCAACGCCAATCAAAAGCTCTCAAGCGGCACTTGACTTACGCTGCCTGTCTGCACATCTGATTATTATCAATGGAAATTTTTTTCGTTAGGTTGGGTGTCTTCGGTGAAATCGACATTTACTGATCAAAATGTAACCCTTCCACGCTCATCTGTATGAAAGGCGTGTGCTGTTCCATACCTCAGGAAGTACACTGGCTCGGC